ATATATATATATACAGAAATGATCTAATGAGCACCGGTGCTCATCTTATCCTAAGCACCGATGAGTTGGCACATTAATTCATTGGTGGATAAAGATTTTGTGAGTTCCAATCCACCAATGAATTAATGTGCCAACTCATTGGTGCTTAAAATAAGATGAGCACCGGTGCTCATTAGATCATTTCTATATATATATATATATATAAGTGGAACTCGTTTTCACTATTTAAAAATTTTGGGACTTCTATTGTAATTTTTGGTATATGTGTTGTCTCTTTTGTTTGTTTATTTAAAGAGGAGGATAAATTAGTGATTTTTCAATGCTTAAATGAAGAAAATAGACAGTACTCTTTTATACAATGAAGGCAAACAATAAGGATGTTTTGCGTAAAAAAAAGCAAGCAATAGATATGTTTTGCACCAATTACCCATATATGATGGAAGAAATTGACGGAATGAGATGAAAATAACCAATTTCACAAGAAAATGTTGAAATGAGGGTGTAAATGTCAAATTCAAAACGATTGGGGCAATTTGCACAATAAATTTAAAAGATATATCGTTTTTTTGCTAATTACCCATATAAATGCCCTAATGTCAAATAAATTTGTGAAAAATCGTATATATGTACCAGATAAGAATTTCATCCCATTTAAATTTGTGAAAAATCGTATATATGTACCAGATAAGAATTTCATCCCGTTTAACAGACAGACTCTTTAGTCTGCATGTGCTATTCTACATTTCTACTCTTTTTGTTTTCTACCACAAAGTATACTTCTTCTTGTCCAATTCTGCACTTTCTCTCACTAAAAGTCGAACATAAATAGACTAATTTGATTAAAGAAAAAGTTCACAAAATTTTCAGCTTTCAATCGGCCACTCTTCAATTCTTCAAATATGTCTGTTCCAAAAGCACCAAAAAGATCAGATTCTTTAACTACTTGGTTCTTTACCTATGCAAAGCTAAGGTTCTTCAGTCGCATGCGGCGGTTCCTCCACCTCAAGGCCGCCAAGAAGCAATACAAACCGCCGGAGAAAGTCGAGAAATCCGTAGATACAGATATACATACAGAGGCAAATATGAGGGAAGAGAGTGATTGGGTGGTGATTTTGCAAAGGTCTGTGAAGAGGCTACACTTTGGAAGCTGGGAAGAGAAGGAGTTAGCGGCGGAAGATATAAGAAAACTTGCTAAAGAGGACTTGAAGCGGAGGAAAACCATGGCGGAACTCGGTGTTATACCGCCGTTGGTGGCCATGGTTGGTTCACAAGTGGTGGCGCGTCAAAGATTAGCTGTTCAAACGTTAATTGAGCTTGCTAATGGCTCTTTCACGTAAGTTGATTTGCATTAAAACAGAAAATTAGACACCCTTTAAATTTTATGGTTTATATCTCTTCATCTAATTATAATTCATATATAGCCCTCATTTACTGTTTTTGGTTTAGCTTTTATAATTCAGTTTCTTAAATCAATCTGTATATTATCAAAAATAGTCTCACAAAATCTTTCATATTTTCTAGAGTAATACTATTTAGTTGTGTTACAACACCGGTTCAATTGACATTAAATTATAGGAACAATTAAATGAATCATATAATTCCACATTTAATTAAGCATATCATATTACGACACTTACAATTCTAACTTCACTCGGGTTAGATAATGGTCGGTCAGTGTTCCGCATTTCGTAATTAGGTAAGATATATATATATATATATATATATATATATACACACACACTTGCTACTTGCTAGGGTGAGATGGTTTCAAGATTAAATATATATGTGACTAAGAAAATGGGTACTTTTCTATTAGTTGCATACACATAAATTCAAGGATTTAATAATTAATTTCATATCTATGGAGTAAAAAAAGAGCAATACTACTCATCCCCACTGAAGTTGCATCCCCAATGTAGGTGGCGTTAATATGGCATTAAATGATGTGTGAAATTAAATAAGTCATTTAATTTCACATATCATTTAATCAATCAGATTGAAATGCAACTCCACCAGGACTACATAGCATTATTGGCCAAAACAATAGTGGGATTTTACTGCAACACAATGACGTGGCAAAATTGTATTGGAACTTGAACTTACTGCACACAAGCCATCAACCATAATGGAGGTCCAGTGGCCATTATGGACTTGCAAGAATGCACGTGGGGTGGGAGTGGGCGGCTGGGCACGTGCTATTTAATAAATTATTATTATGCATCCATACTCTGATAGTCCACCCAAAAATATATTTTGAGTAAAGATCGAAGTGGTTGAGCTTACCTCATTTTCTATCTTTAGAATATCTAGAATTTGGACTTCTTGGGCCTAGTTCGTCCACTTCACAAGCTTGGTGAAGTTGTCAACTACGCCGGCCCGGCCAGGCCCGGCCCGGCTCATTCCATCCCATCCCGTCTTGTTTACAAAGATTTTACATTGCAAAGTATCTACGTCGAAGACAGTAAAAAATTTTAAACGTGAAATCAATAATGTAATAGACAATATTTACGAAATTTTCAGATGTGAACTTTTGAATTCAAATTGGGAGTGCTGGAATCATTGAGCGGCATAATTTCTAATTCTGCAGACAAGTTGTCTGTGTAGGGACATAGAATATAGGCCCTTGAGATTTTGTCCCGTAGTTGTTTGAAAACGGGTTAGCCGTCCAATACAAAATTACAATCCTTGATTTTCAAATGCAAATGATCTTCCAGAGAGAATCTTGTTGACTTCTCCTAGATAATGTTTTTATTTTCTTGATATGCATTTGGTCCCTCTTCTTGGAACCCCACATATGACTATCTTGTTCAATGTCCCACCCCACTTTTCTATTTTATTAGAATAATTTGTATTCAAAATATGATGCCTAAAATTATCTGTCAAATTATTTTGGGATGTTCTCATTCTAATGGCATTCTTGTTTTCTATGTTGTTCTTGCAGGAACAAAGCTCTCATGGTGGAGGCAGGAATCTTATCAAAATTACCTGAAAATGAGGATGTCTTAGGTGAACCAGCAATGCAAGAATTTTCCCAGCTCCTCTTGTCTATATCTGCAGCCTTAGCCAACAGCCAATTTTCTCTGCCCTCATCAAGAATTATCCCCTTTATAATTCACATTCTGGAGTCAAGTTCAAGTACTATTCAGACAAAAGATACATGTTTGACAACATTGTACAATCTTTCCTCAGTCCTAGACAATGCTACAACTTTGGCTACAAGTGGGATGGTCAATATTCTCTTGATGCTGTCTACACTTAAAGAAGCATCAGAAAAAGCCCTTGCAATCTTGGGAAACTTGTCAATAACCTTAACGGGAGAGAAGGCGCTAGAAAATGATCCAATGGTGCCCGAAAGATTAATCGAGATTATGACATGGGAAGAGAGGCCAAAATGCCAAGAATTATCTGCTTATGTATTGATGATTTTAGCTCATAGAAGCTCACTCCAAAGGCAGAAAATGACCAAGGCTGGAATTGTGCCTGTCCTCCTTGAAGTGGCCTTGTTGGGTACTCCCTTCCGAGTCTTTTCTCGAAATTTTTATTTGCAATGGTTTAAAAATGAAAGGCAAATGAAAATGGGGCCTCATTCTGGGCCGCAGGATGGGAGAATATCCCATGGATCCCCTATAAATCCAAAGGAGATCGATGAAGGGAAGAAACTGATGAAGAAAATTGTGAAACAGAGCCTATATAAAAATATGGAAACAATTACTCGTCGTGCCAATGGTGAAGGGGATTCATCTCACCTTAAGTCTTTGGTAATTAGTTCAAGTTCTAAGAGTTTGCCGTATTGATTTAATGGTGGGTGCAGACGATCCTAGTCAAACACTTAGGGCGATAGAACCCACTTCACGGTGCTTTACTTACATTGGAGTACCTATGATCTATCAAAGTTGATGAAATCTACAAAGTCAATATTTTGACACGAAGAAACTCCAAGGGAAAAGAACGATTTGCCATCTTAGATTGCACTATTTGTGCAACACTACTTCATTTTGTTGTATATTGTGCAATATATATATTTTTTGTTTTTAATTTCTTGGAGGGTAAATGATCACATTTGTTTTATAGTGATTCTATAATTAATAATTCTAACTCGTAAAAAAATAAAATCTTGGAACCCTCGATAGTCCAAAAGTACCCGTAGCTTGTTTATTAGAGTGACATTTATAATACTTACAAATTAAAAAAAGCTAATATTAGTGTCTCAAATGCTAGATTCTAACACACCATTAGAAATTATTAATATTAAATAATTATATCTTGTGTAATAATTGATTGTGTTTTGCGGGTTTGGTGCCCGTGAGATCTTGTCACTTCTGCATTCTGTAAATTAAGTGGTAAATCAAGTGGTACAAATAGCATTTTTCTGATGCAAAATTTATTCTTAAGCATTACAATTTTGTGAGTCCTCAATTTAACAATATTAATCAAGCTAGGGCTCCATTATCACGACTAAAACATTTATTTTAATATTGAACTTTGAATTATATATACACGTACATACAATATAGAGTTTTAATTTATTTTATTCACCTAACGATCTCTTAGAGACTCTATTTATAAAAATAATTTTATGTATAATAGTGAACATCTTTAAATCAAAAAGTAGAATTTTTATACACTCCAACTTTGGCTCGTCATTTTGCTTTCTTCAAGAAATATTTATTGATTTCTCTTCATCATTTCTTTAACATATTTTTTTTTATACGTCAATAACCAATTAGTATGATTTGAATTAATAAATATCATTTCTTCAATATGTGTGTGTGTGAATTCAATTTGAGTTTGTCGCAATTCACACACGGAATTTTTCTGTCGCAATTAATTATGTGAATTTACACGAAATTTGTCTCTTTGCTTTAATTTTTGTTCTTATAAGTGTATGTTCTCGTAAAATTATGGGTGTAGAATCTCGCTTCTTGACTTCATTCCTATAAGTGTTATTTTTTATTTTATTTTTTGCAATTTGTGAATTAGAATGAAATTATTGCATAATTGTGGGCAGCCACCATCGTTTCTATATTCATATGTCTGTATGCATATCTATTTTCATTAATCAATATAGAAATCAAGTAAATTCAAGATAACGGGGAAAGTTAAATACACGTTTATATATCTACTTTTTCAATTCAATTCACGTATTCGTTGCTTTTCTATGTTTGTAAAATATATACGTTTATAACGATTATTAAATGTTCTTTATGTCTTTAACATGATTAAATATTTTTAAATGGTCTATCATAAACTTTAAATTTATAATTTATAATATTGTTGTTCATGAAGTAGCAGACATTATAATTAAATATTCTAATAGAATACATGCTCCAAAAGAGCGTGTCATTAAAATTTCAATATTTCAGAAGAATTGACTTGAGCATAACTTAAATTATATTTATTTTAA